TGATTGGTTAGCTTGGCCAGTGTGTGTTGTGATTGGCAGCACTCGGTGCCTGGTCACGAAATGTCACGCCCCTTACCATAGCCGCCTGCGAGCTTCAGTGTAAATATTGTCAAAATCAAATCAATTTGAGCGTCATTTAAACCCGGATGATTGTAAACACTCCAAGTTCATCGGTCTTGGGAAAGCTAGCGTGTCTCCGACATAGTGATAACACTCGTTGCCTTCTCTAGTGCAGCTCAACCAGATCTCATCCCATTCGTCGGTATTTGTGATGTCACAAATCCCTGAAAATATGCATTGTAGTCCAAACGAGTCATTCGTTGTAGTTTTTGAAAAGTTCTGTTAAATAAAATATCTCCTTTTGAAGTGGACTTTGAGCTTTGTAACTTTGCCGATCTTTTTTATACTCAAACAGCAACATTACAGACTAACTAAAGTTGAAAAAGCATAATAGGACCCCTTTAAACGAAAACCATCATGGGGCAGTGACCTGACGAATCACACAGTTCACCTTGTTATTTCGGGAGTAGCTATAGAGCCACTTAATGATGGCTGCATAGTCCTGACACGGCATCTTAGCCATCAGCTTCCCAACAGCCTGTGCTCCACTGACTCGATATTCAGACTTCTCCACCATCTGAAACACACACAAACACACAGACACACAGAGTGAGATGCGTGGAAAGAATTACAAAGAAAATGTTTTTTTTTCAAAAAAATCTAACCTTAAAAGACCCAAAAAAGTTAAAAAGGTGTTGCAAAACAAATCCATATTAATCAAGTGGTTTAAAGTCCTGTGAAGATACGATTGCTGTATACGACAAATAGATTTTATTTAGGCTTTTAATAACAAACGCACATACAAATCCAATCATACATGGTAATCACGGAAGCTTGTGTGTATGTCACATGCTAGAATATGTGTGAGTATCATATAAAGCAATCAATGCCTTCATAACCTTTTTGGAACTGTTAAGTTTTAGTTACCCGGACATCCGATGGAAGGACAGAAACCTCTCAGGTTTCATTAAAAATATAACAGAAGATTAACCAAAGTCTTATGGGTTTAGAACAACATGAAGTAAATGACGATAGAGCTATTATTTTTGGGTGACCTATCCAAAACAATTGTGGTTGTTCCAAATCTGTATGTTTTTCTGTAAAACTCAAAAGGAAAATTATATAGAATCTCCGCTCAGGTCTTTGGTGTAATAATGTTTGGTCTCAAGATATTTGCTTTGAAAACTGCATGAATGATTTGATAGTGTACGAAATGTGCTGTGATTGGTTAGCTTGGCCAGTGTGTGTTTTGATTGGTTAGCTTGGCCAGTGTGTGTTGTGATTGGCAGCACTCGGTGCCTGGTCACGAAATGTCACGCCCCTTACCATAGCCGCCTGCGAGCTTCAGTGTAAATATTGTCAAAATCAAATCAATTTGAGCGTCATTTAAACCCGGATGATTGTAAACACTCCAAGTTCATCGGTCTTGGGAAAGCTAGCGTGTCTCCGACATAGTGATAACACTCGTTGCCTTCTCTAGTGCAGCTCAACCAGATCTCGTCCCATTCGTCGGTATTTGTGATGTCACAAATCCCTGAAAATATGCATTGTAGTCCAAACGAGTCATTCGTTGTAGTTTTTGAAAAGTTCTGTTAAATAAAATATCTCCTTTTGAAGTGGACTTTGAGCTTTGTAACTTTGCCGATCTTTTTTATACTCAAACAGCAACATTACAGACTAACTAAAGTTGAAAAAGCATAATAGGACCCCTTTAAACGAAAACCATCATGGGGCAGTGACCTGACGAATCACACAGTTCACCTTGTTATTTCGGGAGTAGCTATAGAGCCACTTAATGATGGCTGCATAGTCCTGACACGGCATCTTAGCCATCAGCTTCCCAACAGCCTGTGCTCCACTGACTCGATATTCAGACTTCTCCACCATCTGAAACACACACAAACACACAGACACACAGAGTGAGATGCGTGGAAAGAATTACAAAGAAAATGTTTTTTTTTCAAAAAAATCTAACCTTAAAAGACCCAAAAAAGTTAAAAAGGTGTTGCAAAACAAATCCATATTAATCAAGTGGTTTAAAGTCCTGTGAAGATACGATTGCTGTATACGACAAATAGATTTTATTTAGGCTTTTAGGCTTTTACGCACATACAAATCCAATCATACATGGTAATCACGGAAGCTTGTGTGTATGTCACATGCTAGAATATGTGAATATGTGTTATAAAGCAATCAATGCCTTCATAACCTTTTTGGAACTGTTAAGTTTTAGTTACCCGGACATCCGATGGAAGGACAGAAACCTCTCAGGTTTCATTAAAAATATAACAGAAGATTAACCAAAGTCTTATGGGTTTAGAACAACATGAAGTAAATGACGATAGAGCTATTATTTTTGGGTGACCTATCCAAAACAATTGTGGTTGTTCCAAATCTGTATGTTTTTCTGTAAAACTCAAAAGGAAAATTATATAGAATCTCCGCTCAGGTCTTTGGTGTAATAATGTTTGGTCTCAAGATATTTGCTTTGAAAACTGCATGAATGATTTGATAGTGAACGACATAAATCTCTGTCTGTAGCTTTAGAAAACATGAAATATAACACAGTTACATGAACTCCCTTTATAATGCTGTTTTGTATTGGAGCTTAACAGTTGTGGTCACTCTTAAATGTCATATGCATGTAGATTCTTCAAAAAAGTCCATGTTCCATGAAAAGAATAACCACAAACAGGTTTGTAACGACGAGGGCTGAGAGTCAATAATGACATAACTTAAATGAAGCAATTCATTTTTTGTGGAATATTCTTTTAAATTAAAATATACCTGATGGCAGATGTGCTGCACAAGTATCCGTAAAAGCGGCAATGCAGCCTCCCTCTGCTTTTCAACAATATGACTAGAACACAGGACACACATAATGCATATATTAACAACTCACGGAATCAATGCTGAACACACAGTAGGGGACAAAATCAATTTAGAGACTGCACGTAATTTTAAAAACAAAACAAATATTCCTACATGGAAATATTACTGGAACCCTAGAAAGAAGGGAATAAGCCGTTACTAACCTGATGAAAAGGATGGCCTGGTCTCTGGCACCACAGACAGCCTGAGACGAAGCAAGAAGACACGGCTTGGACCTCTCTTGTGTTTTCATCATTAGAATAACATACAGTAGCTTGCGAAACACTCGTCGACGGCACTGTAAAATGCAACACCCACAATGATCAAGCAATGTAATTTAATGAATGTAACTAAAATGAGGAGGTCTTTCTGGAGCAAAACCACCCACCTCATCTCCTTCACCATGAATGGTTGAGCAAAGTAGCCCCAGTCCATGGTAGGACAGCTCAGGCAGACTCTGTATTTGGTCGACATTCCTTGAAAACAAACAAACAAAATTCTCAGAAGGTTATAATGCTGGATATAAATTCTAAACATTGTTGTGCAGCTCAACCAGATCTCATCCCATTCGTCGGTATTTGTGATGTCACAAATCCCTGAAAATATGCATTGTAGTCCAAACGAGTCATTCGTTGTAGTTTTTGAAAAGTTCTGTTAAATAAAATATCTCCTTTTGAAGTGGACTTTGAGCTTTGTAACTTTGCCGATCTTTTTTATACTCAAACAGCAACATTACAGACTAACTAAAGTTGAAAAAGCATAATAGGACCCCTTTAAACGAAAACCATCATGGGGCAGTGACCTGACGAATCACACAGTTCACCTTGTTATTTCGGGAGTAGCTATAGAGCCACTTAATGATGGCTGCATAGTCCTGACACGGCATCTTAGCCATCAGCTTCCCAACAGCCTGTGCTCCACTGACTCGATATTCAGACTTCTCCACCATCTGAAACACACACAAACACACAGACACACAGAGTGAGATGCGTGGAAAGAATTACAAAGAAAATGTTTTTTTTTCAAAAAAATCTAACCTTAAAAGACCCAAAAAAGTTAAAAAGGTGTTGCAAAACAAATCCATATTAATCAAGTGGTTTAAAGTCCTGTGAAGATACGATTGCTGTATACGACAAATAGATTTTATTTAGGCTTTTAATAACAAACGCACATACAAATCCAATCATACATGGTAATCACGGAAGCTTGTGTGTATGTCACATGCTAGAATATGTGTGAGTATCATATAAAGCAATCAATGCCTTCATAACCTTTTTGGAACTGTTAAGTTTTAGTTACCCGGACATCCGATGGAAGGACAGAAACCTCTCAGGTTTCATTAAAAATATAACAGAAGATTAACCAAAGTCTTATGGGTTTAGAACAACATGAAGTAAATGACGATAGAGCTATTATTTTTGGGTGACCTATCCAAAACAATTGTGGTTGTTCCAAATCTGTATGTTTTTCTGTAAAACTCAAAAGGAAAATTATATAGAATCTCCGCTCAGGACTTTGGTGTAATAATGTTTGGTCTCAAGATATTTGCTTTGAAAACTGCATGAATGATTTGATAGTGAACGACATAAATCTCTGTCTGTAGCTTTAGAAAACATGAAATATAACACAGTTACATGAACTCCCTTTATAATGCTGTTTTGTATTGGAGCTTAACAGTTGTGGTCACTCTTAAATGTCATATGCATGTAGATTCTTCAAAAAAGTCCATGTTCCATGAAAAGAATAACCACAAACAGGTTTGTAACGACGAGGGCTGAGAGTCAATAATGACATAACTTAAATGAAGCAATTCATTTTTTGTGGAATATTCTTTTAAATTAAAATATACCTGATGGCAGATGTGCTGCACAAGTATCCGTAAAAGCGGCAATGCAGCCTCCCTCTGCTTTTCAACAATATGACTAGAACACAGGACACACATAATGCATATATTAACAACTCACGGAATCAATGCTGAACACACAGTAGGGGACAAAATCAATTTAGAGACTGCACGTAATTTTAAAAACAAAACAAATATTCCTACATGGAAATATTACTGGAACCCTAGAAAGAAGGGAATAAGCCGTTACTAACCTGATGAAAAGGATGGCCTGGTCTCTGGCACCACAGACAGCCTGAGACGATACATGACACCACTGTCACACTGACAGAGAGATTGGAATTCTTTCAACAATGTGTCAGTGTAGGAAAAAAAAACACTTTTTAAGATGATGAGTGTAAAAGTTACATATACAAAAAAGCAAAAGTAAAATTCGATACCTCTTCTGACACTTTCTTTGGGGGTTTGGATCGTTTGCCTGTTTTGGGGTCACCTTGAGAGCTTTTCAAAGTATCTTTCTTGCGTTTCTTGCCAGAGTCTTGAGGCCAGCATTTCAGGGGCATGTTCAGACAGGTATCAAAAAGAATCTGATGATACACTTTATTCGCAACACTCCCTGAAGATGTACAAAAACATTAAATCAATTCATGCAGGCATAACAAACAGAAATCAGTGCCATGCCATGCACTAGGAAGGACTTCAGCACTGCAGCCAGACGCAAGGGATAGAAACTATGAAGGTAAAATAGTAGCAAAACTCGAGCGCTTGTTGATTTGAAGGTGAGATCTTGTCATATTAATATTTGTATTTGTCAGTTTAAATTTACACTCACAGATCTGATGTGAAAAGCTGAGTCTTTCGATTTGCACACACAACTTTCAAAACACCCGTGTTTTGAATTCAAACTTGCAGATTAATCTGCAACTTTGATAACTTTGGCTTTGTCCAAATACCCACACTTGCAGTCTTTGCACTTAACCACTTGATTACTTAAATGACGTATTTCCTGTATTTGGCCGAAGTCTTCAAGTGGGTGTGAAGACCACAAGTGTGTGTCGAACTTTTCATTACCTGATGGGACACACTTATAGTGTTGTAAAAATTCAAGTGTTTACACAGCTTTATTTTAATTTTAACTTTGCATTTTAAAATCAACTTCTAAAGTCTGTTCAGTAGTCCCTAAAACATGATATAATTTTAATTTGTGGTGCTTCTAATTAAATGATAAAAAGCAGTTGCAAATGTTGTACAAAATAAATATCACCACAACTCATCTTTGCACCAATATAAGTAAAAACACTCTTTTTCTACCAAATTATTTGTAATATCTAATTATTATATTAATATTTAACTTGCACTGGAAAGGTTTCCGTGACCGCTCGCGAGATCTCGGCAAAAAGTCTCACGATTTATTTCCAGAACATGATGCATGATGGGATACACTTAGCCTTGAATAGCACTCTGGAGCGGTATTCGAGATAGTGTGGATTTAGTATCCATTAAGGGCACTGCACTTTGAAGACATGGGACAGACTTGCACACTTACTTCCTGTCGCGCGCGCGCGCTCTCAAGTGGCCAAGACCACAAGTGTGGGTATTTGGACAAGGGGTTCGAATTTAAAACACGGGTGTTTTGATTGTTGTCTGTGTGTGCAACTTGAAAGATTCAGCTTTTCAGAGTGTACATTTCTTACAAATACGAATATGACAAGTTCTCACCATCAAATCAAGCTCTCGAGTTTTGCTACTATTTTACCTTAATAGGAATCTGACCTGGAATTTTTAGCAGCAACAAGTATAGAGAGGCTGCCTGTAGACCACACAGTCTCTGTTCAAGACTGGGACTTTTGGCTTTAGCACTAAGGATGAAATAGGACAGGACAGCCACCAATGGTTTTGCAGAGACACCATTCTCACCGAACACCAGCCAGACACTCTGCAGGGAAAAAAAATAAAATGCATCATAAGCAAGGTATATTTACACTGCATCACAAAGATCTGCTATTTTGTGGGGTGAAGCAGAAAGAAATCACAGCATCATCACATGATGGCATACCTGTGTATTGTCATCATCCTTACTGGAGAAGGGCAGAAGCTGCTTGTAAATCCTTTTGAAAACATCAGGGTCTTCCTTTATCTCCTCCTCGATAACAGGGTCAAGAGGGTCTGTGTGGGTGAACTCAAAATCCCACACTGCATCCACCCAGGCTGAAACATGTCAACAAAATAAGTACACTCTGGCTAATAATGCCCCAAAATGCTGCAGGCAGCTCATTTAGTTGAGACACAGACAATGATTACGCGAAGTACACTACTTAGTGATATAGGCACCCTGACTGTTTTCGGTCTTTTTATAAACACTGAGACCGTTTGAACGGGTAGTTAAAATTCCTAGGTCCTCTTTTTCTGCTATGGTCAAATAAAAAAGTTTTGCATCAAAATCTCACATAAGGTCATATAAATTACCTCACATAAAATCTCGGTAGCAAACCATGAACCGAAATCAAAACAATCCCCCGGAATGACAGACAGCGCTCAAGATATTTCGAGGTTTAATACAGTACACAAAGTGAATCTCAAAATTAATTTAGCAGTTGTTTCTAGGACATGCTCGTGACAAATATGGAATCATACCTGAAGACACACTGTTTAATTTTAATAACTGCAGCGCACGTATCAACTCCATACTTCGTTCAAAATAAACGCGCCAAATAGCCGCACTATTCCCGGCATGCCACCGGGTTAAGGCTAGATACGTATGGCGCTACTGGGCATGCGCACATCAATTCAGCGTAATTTTTGTCACACTGTACAACAATAATTACTATTTTTTAATTCTTGTAAGGGGTCGGTTCAGGGTTGGGGTTGGTGTAGATGTTAATAAAACACAATTTAATAGGTATAAAATTACATTTATTGTTAGCTTCCGGTCGGAGCTGTATCCCTTCTTTGTTTATTTTATTTTTTTTATTGATTTTCAACATATAATATAAAGGTATTGAACAAATATAAACTACAACAAAGAAATAGAAAAAATACAGTATAATTTAAATAATAGTACAAGTAAAATAAGATACAATAAAAAATGCTGTATCCCTTCTAGCCACAACCCATGCACGGCGACATACGCATTACGCAAAAGATGCGCTCATTAATATTAATTAGCCATTGACTCTCTTTTTTCCCATTTTTATTAAACCTTCCATAATAACAGCACAATAACGTTCATAAATAGTTAATCTCTAAAAAATAAAACATACATACAATTAGACATAAATACAAAATAACGTCAAATAATGACGAGGGTGTTGAATTATTAATATTCATGAGCCAAAGCAGTTCCGCTTCGCGCTCGGTTCCAGCGCATGCGCAACGCTTCGTTCCTATGACGCGCAGTTACGCGCGTTCCTCAAAAACGGAAATGCTTCAGCTGTAAATATACCACAACAGAATAACAAAGGACTATAAAGGAAGAATACAAATAAGCGACCGAACTAGGTGCACTCATTTCTTAAATGTACTTTTTTAAATAGGGGAGAATATAAAAATAACATATTATACATTGTATACGTTTTATAACCTGCTGTTATAAAACTAAAACTGCTAGTTTTATATCTACTGTCTGCCGGTTGCATAAACTGCTTAGACTAGTCTTAAAAAGTTAGCCATCTATTTAGCTTTCTTCTAGATTGGTCATATCTGTTTAGAGTCATTGACAAAAATGTAGATTGGCCCCATTTTAATTAGAAAAGAGAGACTAACTGCTAGTCAGTCAAACTAGTCCTTAAGACACAGTCTTAACATAGTGGCTATGTTTATGCAACTGGCCCAGAAACACACTCACTCACTCACTCACTCACTCAC